CACTTTTTGTAGCTCAGACAGATAAAAGGTTCCTTTGATCTCGTCTCCATCGTATTCTTTGACTCTGTATAGAGGCAATCCTCGCGTAGTATATTTTGAGAAATGGTAAATATCTCCCCCGTCCATTTTTCGTCGTTTTCTGGAAGGGTTCCTCAAATGAGACAACCTTACTTTATCTCCAACCTTGAACTTGAACGGCTTACGAACCTTTTTCGTTTCTCGTAAGACTGGCTGTTTTTTCGGCCAATACACTCTTCACCAGATGGACGTTTCCTTGTCTTCAGTTACATTTGCTGGGGCCATACCGATTGTCCGGTGATACGTCTGATTGTAGCTGTCGGCAAATGTTTGTAGTTTCTTTACGTATTCATAGTTTCTCCTGTGCGTGAAATATCTATACAGTCTAGATTTAATAGTCTTGATGACACGCTCGGCTACAGCAGCTTTGGTTTCGTTTGGGGCATATAAATGGTTTATTCCATATTTGGCCAGAAGCGCATTGACCTCCTTCGATCTAATTTCTTGGCCCTTATCGGTCCGCATTCGTCTGAGTTGTGTCCCCTCATATACAATGTCCTGAAGTGCCTTTGCTACTGTTACCCGTTTCTTGTCTTTAAGCGGTCTCAGCCACAAGTATTTAGAGAACACATATTACCACGAGTACGTAGGAATAACCGTTGTTTTCACTTTTGAACTTGACCATGTCCATGAGATCCGCAGACCATTGGTCGTCAATTCCAGTCACGATGATCCTGTTTCGTTTAAAGAGTCGTCGGAGTGATCTCTGTATGGCTCTTGTCGCTGTTACCTTTTTTATCTTGTATTTGCTGATGACGTATTTTCCGGCCTTCCGTACATATCTATACAATTTGTCGGGCCCGGAGAAACGCAATTGCAGGATTGAAGTAAATATCTCTTAAATAATCTTCCCAGAGAGGCATCCTCCCCCGTCGAGTTCCAGACGTTATGATGAGGCTCATCTGAAGTTTGCCGATTTATATCAGTTTTCATCATCATCATCATCATCATCATCGTCATCATCATCATCATCATCATCATCATCATCATCATCATCATCTTCGTCGTCGTCGTCTTGATCGCCCTATGGTTCCCATAACCATCGTCTTTGAATTCTGTGACATCTTCCATGACTTTCTCGTTAACCACTCCGTCTTGTAACTGAAGAATATATCCTATCGTAGACCCGTAAGTTTTGTTGAATAGATGCATGTCTTTAGATTTCATCTTCTCGTTTGCTTTCTCCTGTGCTTCGTCATCAGACTTGCCATCATTGATGTATTTCTCATACTTTTGATTCCATTTCGCCTCGTTTGCAGACCTGACTTCATTCACCATGCCACTAAAAGCTTCGTTCTCTTCACTATCTCTATTTTTCTTGCCTGACTTCAGATCTTCATGTGGGATCCTACGTTTTGGTTTCGGTTCATCTTCGTCTGCATATTCTCATTTTCTTTTACGAGAATTATTTTCTGGACACCATCTCTTAACGTGCCTCTGTAAATCGTGCATGTCTTTGAACAATATTCCGCAGTCGTCACAGGCAGGCATATCTTCTGTTGGTAACTGTTGAGTTTCGTCTTTATTTTGCTGCTGCTGCTGCTGGGAATACGTCCGATCGGTTGGAGTGTCAGCCTCAAAATGATTGTTAATCTGGTCTGTCAGTCCTTTTATAGGCTGTTCACAAACTGTATCACTGCGCATGCCTAACGACTCGGGTGTTGCAGGTTTCAACTCGACGAGGAGATATCCGTACGGCTTATGGGTGACCTCTCTGAAATGTGGTTTACACTACATACACATTGTTGGTCAGCGTAGTTTGTATTTATGAACGTATACAGCAACTTTACCATAGTGATATGGAAAATGTGCATGGGTTCTGAATGTTTGAGGTTTGAATATGAATCACAAGAATGAGGATAATGTAGCTGTGTGTAGATGTCTATACTAGTATTTTGTTGAGCAGTTTATTATGCTGTATGCCGTTATCTGTAAACCAGGCATGCAGTGTAACCTACTTAGACCTCGATATCTATATAAAAAACAAATTTAGTTCTGTGTTTCATAGTAAGTAAGATAGGAGGAAAAAATGTTGTACATATATCGTCTTCTCGTTGTTATTTTATATATTGTTCTAAAAGAACTTATCCGGTTGTAACCGGTTTGACTATTTCTAAACGTGATGCAATCGTTGCCGCTATTAATAGATGCAGTCAGGAAAAACCCAAATACAACATCAATGAGAACCCTCCTACACTTGTGACGTCATCGATCGGTACCCCCTACCGAAGGGGGGGTGCCATTAAGGAGTTGTCAGGGAGGTGGTAAGGATTATATAGGGGAGTGCATCGGATGATCCTGTGCGGGAACCGGTACTTTTTCACTACTGACGGCATCATTTCTTTAAAATATTTTTCTAACATACATAATATACTAGCGGAAAAAAGAAACTGTGCATGCGGAGAATTGTTATAGAACATGTATTACCAACTGTATATACATGAAAATGCACATACATGACCGAGTATGACACATACACACTACCCGTGTGTCATTGACAGTTTTTCCCATGCAGTTTGCTCTCTATAGGTGTTGACCAGTGTACACGTTTTTCTCGTCCAGTCATCCAATTCGACAATGAAAGTTTATTTTTCAACTGTTGGGTCACTCTGTTGAGACCAGTGAACAGTAAAAACAGCATTATAACGTTTTAATTTGTGATAAATGCTATGCCGAGGCACAATGAAAATGACCGTCTCCGGATTATTGGTATGCTTCAAGCTGGTATGGGCCAAGCCGTTGTCTCTACACGTTTTCATGTCCATCGAAACACAATCCGGGATTTGTGGAGACGACATCAACAGTTTGGCCACGTCGGCGATCGACCTCGTGCGGGACGTCCACGTTTGACGTCACGTCAACAGGACAACCATATTCGGCTTGTCCATTTGAGAAATCGCTTCCAAATGGCAAGTTTGATTGCATGGACAAGTCCTGGGTTGCTACCAATAAGCCCAAGAACTGTACGGAACCGCGTGAACGAGCTATCCGTCCGCGACGTCTTGCAATCCGCCCAGTTCTTCTGCCACGTCATCGTGTAGCACGTCTGGACTGGTGCAGAAGGCATTTGCAATATACTCGACGTGATTGGGCAGGCATTTTGTTCACGGACGAGTCGCGAGTCCACCTGGATAGTAGGGACGGCCGTTCCAGAGTGTATCGTCGCGTCGGAGAACGTTTCCGTGTCACGTGTGTGGTACAACGACGTTCTTTCGGCGGAGGCAGCGTAATGATTTGGGGCGGCATAACAGCCAACGGGAGAACGCCTCTGGTGGTTGTTAACGGGAATTTGAACGCGCTACGTTACCGTGACGAGATCCTCCGGACCCACGTCGTTCCATTCGTGCAAGGGCAGCAACGTCGCATTACGCTACATCAGGACAACGCCAGGCCACACACAGCTCGTGTTTCTATGGACTTTCTGGCCCAGCAGAACGTTGACGTGCTGCCTTGGCCTATCAGTCTCGAGTTCAAACCCAAATTTCATGTTCTAATCGCCAGTATAGCCACTCAAAACAACGTACTATCCCCTAAGTGATGAGCAATTTGTCAACGATACATTACAGTATGCATGAAATAGAGAAAAAAGCCAAGGAAACATGAAACAAAAAATATCTGTTAATGTTCGAGAAACGTCTGGGTTTTTTTACCGTCCCGATTTTGTCGTGAGTTATTTCCGGGTCACGTTCTCTTATCACAATACATGATGTCACAAAATCTTGATAATTATTTAAAGATAGTATAAAGAATAAACGAGTTAACAAAAACAATATTTGTACAGGGTAAATATTATTTTCTTGAATGTTAGCGAAGCAGACGACGTTTGATCATAATCTCGAAACTAGAACATTTTCAAAAAAAAATGTGTTTTAACATTTGAAAGAAAAGGTTTGAAGGGGGAAAATCAATTTGTTTTTTATGAACTGATGAACGTGATACAGAAAAGAAATATAGTAAACAACTGAAATTAAATTTATCAAAAACACCATCCTTAGAGAGTATGTTCTGGGCATGATCGTTTAGAAGCTTTGCAATACTGACTCTTTCAAACGCATCAGCTCGAGATAAGGTCCTGTTTACAAAATGGCGACTGGAAGTAACAAGGCGGATTATATTGGAACTTCAATTCTGTATATTTCGGCAAGTAAGCCTTGTACAATGTGTACGTGTGGTCAGATCATCTAATTTAGTTTACATGTACTCAGATCAGTCGTTGTTTAGTCATTAACTTAAAAAATCTGATTATTATATAAATCTTATTTAATTATTCCTCTTCTTCCTCTTCTTCTTCTTCTTCTTCTTCTTCTTCTTCTTGTGCCGCTAAAGATTTTGTCCGACTTATTTCTCGAACCCCGTTGGAGGGAAATTAATGAAACTTTACCCAAGTGTTATCAAGGTTAGGGTGTGTGCAAAAGACCTTTCATTTTCCGATCGGTCAACCAAATCTCCGCCACTGCCTCTGATCTGATTGGTCGAAATTAAAACTTGGTCGATTTTGCTCAAATTTCTTTTAAATATGCATTAATGCACTGCGAACATAGCTGCTCAAAAACGATTCAGGTATTCTAGTGTTTAAGGTACGATACTAGTTTCCCCTTCACCAGGGTCATCTGGAACACAGTAACTGAATGGAAAATAGCATTTATATGACTATCTGTCTCTGTGTACAAATTACACTACTCATATTAGACCAACTGCGACTGTTTTGGTGATTGATAATTAAAGAGAGGTAGTATGCGTGCCTATCTTAACTGATTGACTGTGATATTGACCCAGTAAGTATGTAAGGTCAAGACCCACTGAACATGACCTGACAACATATCAATCAGTTCCTACGATACATTGTTTAAAAACAACAGGAATAGACTGGGGTAAGGACACATATGTTTTACTAAAGGAGTTCGGCAATAACAGACGGGTAGATGGAGAAACACGAGAAGATCTTCCTTAAGAAGAGCTTTGTAGTCATTACCGGCTCCAGTAGAGGACTAGGGAAAAGTATGGCCCTACATTTTGTTGGAAAGTTCCCTCCTGAGTCTGTGTTTGTACTAATGGCCAGGAATGTGGAGGCTTTGGAAAGCGTCAGGACCGACTTGGTAGAATTGGTTCCGGAATTAACAGTTTTAGTTAAACAATATGACCAAGGGAATACCGATACTGGATATTTCGATGGAATATTTGACAACCTTCTTCCTGAAAACAAACTGTCCACCGATGATTTCGACCAGGCCGTGATTGTTCATAATTGTGCTTCAACCGGCGACAACGAGAAAACCGCACTTCAATTGTGTGACGCCAACCATGTACGATCTTTCTACAACATCAACCTGGTCGGAATGATCCTCCTCAACACAAGCTTTTTTAGCTTATTTTCCAATCCGGCACGATCTCGAATGGTAGTCAACATTACCTCAGGAGGTTCCCATATTCCAACACCGTCGCTTAATCTATATTGCGCAGGTTCGTTAAATCAATCGTTTAATTGAGTTTGGGGGATTGAGGAGTTTTAAAGTAATTTTATATTTTTGGATTGGATTTCATGTTCATTTAGATAAAATGTCAACATTTGTTACCGACCGGTTGACTTCGTCTAAGATCCTTACGTCACTGACTTAGATCTTGTCGATATATTCGAAGATTTGTCAGGTGTGATATAGAAAAATGCTGACCCGTCCGGAGCACACGGTTGTCTTTATGGTTAACCAGGGTTGTGAATAATTTATGTTATTCGTTCAATCAAATGCAGTTTCCGGAATCGAATTCCATATAATTATGCCAATCTGTGTTCCTGTCGTCGTTATGAGATGTTGTCCTTTGGTATTGCCGTAGAGTGTAGCGTGTGGTTAGGAATTAACTGACTATGTGTTTTGTTTGTAGACAGTTCAGTTTGTTGTTGATGTGGCATATTTGAATTCACTTCATCCAGAAATAAGTACTGGACATTGTTTTATATTAAAAAATATTCAGTTTATATTCTCATCTTGGAATATGAATTTTGTACAGTTGACGATCAGTTAGTTTTTTGTTTCAATTATTATAATGCAGCTATGTAAACAATTATTCAGGTCAAATTAATGCATTGATATACCGTCACATGCGCGTTTACAGTTGCTAAGACCTACTGAATTACTCCATCATCACATATCAAATAATTCTCAATAACTTTTCTTAACCCTGGAACATGTCATAGCAAAATTGAAGGCAAAATAAGTTATTTGATTGGTGTCAGGTAAAAAAAACTTTGACCAATCACTAGGTTAATACCTGTCCTTTGAAGATTACAGACGAGCGACAACCGAATTCGAAGCAAGTTGACCATTTCGCCATCGACAGATTCTTTTGGTGTACATCAACCGATAGCACTAGACTTCCCGTCTCATCCACAAGGTGGTGCTGCACACTGAGTCTTCCCGTCTCATCCACAAGGTGGTGCTGCACACTGAGTCTTCAATTTTGCTATGACACATTCTAAAAGTGCAGAGAGCTAAACCCCTGGAGAATCGAGGATGATATCCAAACATGTTGTTCCTTGTAAATCATGCAAACCTGTGCTTTTTGCGTAGATGAACCTGTGTGGGAAAACTAACATTCTTTATCAATTGAAACAACATCTTACTTGTGTTCACTTAAATTCTAGGCTATTGTTCAATTTGTTTCCAAGCAAAACGAAGGCTTTATTTATAGATTTTCTAATTTTGTTTTATCAGGTAAGGCTGCCCGTGATATGTTCTTTCGGGTCCTTGCCACAGAGGAGCCGTCCATCCGAATTCTGACGTACTGTCCGGGTAGTGTCGACACGGTGATGCTTCGAGATCTGGAAAGAGATACGTTCTCAGAACCACTAAGAAAGTTGTTTCAGGGTAAATGAATGTGATGATGATTTAACAACAGCCTTTACCTAAGTAACAAACCCCTGAAGCACTTTGGTTTAACCATATATGTTCAACTAGACCTAAACAAACTTGAAATGTTAGATTTTATTCTTGAGACAAGAACTCATTATATTAGCCTTACGAAGTAAAAGAACGAGTACTACGACACGTTCAGCCACGTTTTACCAATCAATAGGTTGACTTAATCGTTTCGTCGTTTGAGGTTTGCTAGATATTATAGAACACAGGTCTCTTTGAAATTGTTGATGATTGAATCCTTCCAGTGTGACGACATATCAGTATTGCCTCTGTTGTTGTTATTTCATATTTGATAAAAACACTCTTTTGTTTGTTTGGTCTATCAGACGTGCGCCACAATAACAAAGTGCTGACACCAGAGGAAGCGGCGTCCGACCTGGTTCATGTACTGGAGGACAACACATTTGATAATGCCATATACGTAGACAACTATATTCAAGGAGCAAAGCCATACCTGGACGAAATGGAGAAAAAACAATAAGATTTGATGTTTTTGACGTTCAAACATTTAATTGTTCATTTGTTGTTTTTAAAATATGCAAGTGTCTACGTTTGTGGTTATCTGTGATCATTAGCGAACGCTCTTACGTGAGCCCGCGAAATGAGTTTCATAGGTAACACGTACACGAACACGTGAAATAAACCCCAGTCAAAATCATCATTGAAATCCAATAACCTAGAAAGTCAATTCACTTGCATAATTTGGGAAATCGCGCGTGCATAAATTCCGTTTATGAAAGCCGCCATTTTGGATCAATCCGGTGCAGAATAATTCCCAATCAATTTAATCTATTTCAATACAGAAACAAACGGTCTATCGAGAACAAACCCAGATAATACCTGCGTACAACGTCATCAGTCATTATGACGTCAAAATCGATATCTCCCGCGTATATCTTTTTACTGATTATAAGCGGTGTGGTTTAATAAGACGGTACATGTTATAAAAAATAAATACATGTCAGGCATCTTTGTTTTGATATTCTGCTGTAGGCTATACGATGCGTATAGTAACATATGAAACACATGTAGTTTATTTTACACAGTCAAATAAGAAAATGCACAATCATTATATAAAATCAAATTCAGTATGAGCCGATCGGGTTGTAAAAATGTCAACACCATTATCATAGATAAATATAATATTGTTTGTGTGTAAGAAATCCGGTCTTGAGTTCATGTAAAAGAACAACATTATGCAAGATACATTTATATGTCAGGATAATGGGAGGTTTTTTTTGTGGTTTTTTGTTTGTTCCTTTTTCGTTGAGTCTATAAACTCGGGTTCGAACTTGCAATCCCGGGATTATCATGAAAAGCTAAATTGACCTACATCGTATATATACTGTCCTAAACGATATCTCGCACATCGTAGAATATTGGACAACTTTGTTAAAAAGAAATCCCAAATACAATATTCACATGCATGCATATCCTTTTAATTCTTGGCAAAGAGGGTTGTAAATAACAAAATATCATCACAACAATCGACTCAAATAATGAAAATTGCGCATTGCAATGCTCATATGGAGATGACATCATTTGTATTAACTCGTCAACGTACTTTGCGTCAGTGAACGTTTTGGCTAAACCAGGGACCTGTTATGATTTTTTTGAAACATTCATAAATAATAAATAAATCCTTTCTTGTTAATACCAATAATCGATAACTCTAAATAATGTAACCGTTATATAAAGTTTTGTGTAATGCTGTTTACAAGATACATCTGTATGTGTATCCAGTGATTGTAAAGATGGTCTACATTTTACAATAAAATTTGCTGAATGTAAATATCTAATTTTTGCATTTTCATTTTTCATTTTTGATTCTGCAACTTTGTTTTATTATGTTGTGATTTGATGATTTAGAATAACAATGAAAAAGGCTCCATGTGGCAAGAGCTGGTAACGGTTTAAATTGGTGTGGCGGAACTGGACTGGGTCGATTGTCGGCGACCAGATAACTCAATTGTAGAGCGTCCTTCTAGAGTTCGCAAGGTCCCGGGTTCGAACCCCGATCTGGCAGTGCATTTTTCCTCACCTGCGACAGTGGTGCCTGTGACCAACCCTTGTTTCAAGCATTTTGTGTATGCTTGACAAGGGGATACCCGAACCGGGATTGTAAAAGTTGTGTCTTCGGGGGCGAAGACTCCGTAAAAGGAGAAAGGAATATAGCGGAATTAAACTTGGTCGATCGTCGGCGACCAGATAGCTAAATTGGTAGAGCGTTCGTCTAGAGGTCGCAGAGTTCCGGGTTCGATCCCCAGTCTGGCCGTGCATATTTCTTCTCTTTTTTTTAAACATATTTTATTGGAACTTATATACAATGGGAGTTTGGCACAAGTTTAACAACTTATATTAAGCCCTTTCCCTAAAATATATCCTCTCCTGTTACATTGGTAACATAAGGTTACATGATTAAATCGGCTATCGTCCTCTTTAACATTATATACCGTAATATACCGTAACACATATAGTCATTATGATACGAATTAAACTATAGTCCAAACTACATTGCATTGGGATACATGTCCATGTCTATTCCATTGAATTATATCATATGTATCAGCGGTTTTGAATACAAAATTGAACATCTGTGTGCGATGCGATATCGTCTAAAATATTAATGCTTACTCTTAATCTATTATCAGGTGGTTACCCCATTTTATTCAATGAATTAAAATGTATATACATTTTGTAGTATACTTTTATTGAGCGTTCGCTTTAAGGTAGCACCTTTTTCATATACATGCATTACACTTGGTGTAATTAAACTGTTGGGTGATTATGTGATAATACTTGCTATATTTAAATTTTGATGACATCAATAATAATAGAAACTTTGTTTATTTGTGTCAAGTCCATAATATCATGTCGATTATTCAGGCTATCTAGGAAGAAAAATAAATCAGAAAATAATTTTCAACAAACAAAGACGAAATAGAAACTTAGCGTAAAAGTAGGAAGAGGAATCCGTAGGTGAACCAATGTATAATCTGCATGGAAAGTCCATGCTTAAGTAAAGACACTCGTCCTTACCATTGTAAAATGGTGCCGAACATTCCAAGCCAATTGTTTCTTCAGTAATTCTGCTAGAATATTGGGGTGTTTTGCCCTTTTTATGGGTTTGGTAGTGTTTAATAATGATGATATGTTATTAGGATGTTTCCCTTATTTTGATGGTTTTGGTAGTGTTACATAGTGCTGTGTGACTATTTGGGTATTTCCCCTATTTTGATGGGTTTGGTAGTGTTACATAGTGCTGATAGGTTATTGGGGGTATATCACTTATGTTGATGGGTTTGGTAGTGTTACATAGTGCTGATAGGTTACTGGGGTTATATCACTTATTTTGATGGGTTTGGTAGTGTTACATAGTGCTGATAGGTTACTGGGGGTATATCACTTATTTTGATGGGTTTGGTAGTGTTACATAGTGCTGATAGGTTATTGGGGTATATCACTTATGTTGATGGGTTTGGTAGTGTTACGTACAACCTGGCCGTTCATGTTTGTAACAGAGTGCTCACAGGTAAGTTATTGTCAAATATGATGCCAATGTCAGTGTGTGGGCTTCATATCGATTTCTCCTCTGTCTTACAAAATACCTATGTGCGAGATGTGTGTGATTTATAATTCTAAATCGAGATGAGGGCGTTCATAGACTCTCGCACATCTATGACCAAATATTAAACAAAGCATAGCTGAATCCAGTCATTTCGGTACATGTATAACAACTATCGATTTGTGGACAAATCGTACACATTTTAATCTTTGTGTGCATACGCTTCACTGGTCATTTGTCTGATAAAGGTGACAGTGTACATATCGCACCGTATTCATCAGACAAATGACCAGTGAAGCGTATAAGTCATCGAAACGTCGCATAGAAAATGCCTGATCACATGAATGACAATAAGGTTGCTCTTCTTTGTGTAAAATGTAGCTATGACTGATGTACATGTTGTTATGGCCTATGCGCAGTCGCAAGGAAACAACAACCTCTCTACGGCCCGCTTCACCTGCCGCACATGAACCTACGTTAGGTTGAACTGCGAATAACTTGTTGTTCACCATTTTGTTGTAATAAAACCTTGTTCCTTTTTTCATTGTCCTGTATACGGTTATTTTTGTTCATTTTTAGCAGAAGGCCTAGAAAAGTATTTTTCGCGAAAACGCTTCATTTTTAATTACAGAAACAGTTGTTCAATTTAATCCCAAGCAAAATGAGTTGACCTTTAAAATACTTCATGTCCGTTTATTAGGTAAGGCTGCACGTGACATATTCTTCCAAGTCCTTGCTACCCAAGAGTCGTCTACCCTGGTTTCTGACGAACGACCCGGGTCCTGTCGACACACATTTGTTACGAGATTTTGAAACACATACTCGGCAAGACGACGTAAATCGATTCATGGTCAGTTTCTATGGTCACGTTTCCGTGATATTACGACCAACACAGGTTTCCAAACGCAAACCAAGTATTATAAAAGGATATTTGAATGTTTATGTTCTACAAGAGCTGTTTTGTGGTTTTGGGAATGTCGCCTCTTGATTATTTGTTTTGTTTTCATAGATTCAATGTTGGAAATAACATGTCAGTAGGGCTTGTAGAGTTAAAATATAGAATGTGCTCTCCTTACTGAAATTTCCGCATAAATCTCTGACGTTGTACATATATCTTCTTCATTGCTTTTCGAAGACTGATCCCTGACAAGGTCTTGCTCGATTTCAAAATTAACTTCAAAAGAGCAAGTACATGTATGCATTGATAAGTATGAAAAGAGAGAAAAGTGGTTATTGTCAATGAGACTGTATTGTTAATTGGTCACCAATACAACAACGTTGAATGAGGCGTCGTACATGTACTTGCATTAAATATTCCTAAACAAATATTTCTGATGATTGCACTAAATAACAGATTGGTCTACCGATGTATAGACCGAAAACTAAAGTGCACCGAATATACTGCAAAGTGGTTTAAATAAAAACTGCATTTTAGCTTTTGGTCTATATTTACTATTAATTACCTTGTCAAATCCTGATAGTTTAATTATTACATTAGAAAAGAAACATATTGTACAAATAGTGCGTCATAATTATTAACAACCAAAATAGTATTGTTCATGTATGGCGCAATGTTTTCTATGGTGATCAATCCAATTCCGTTTCTTTTTAAATCTACCGCGCGTGTACAGCGACGTGACAATCGTACTGATCCGGATCTTTTGAAGTGCTCACTCAACAGCGTACGACGCTAATAAGACCATGTTTACATTTTCGCAAGTAGTCGGAAATATGTTCATGACATTTAAGCATTGAACTTTTTTTGTATGGTATTTATGATCTATTTGAATGACACAGCTTTGCAAGCAAACAACATAATGCGCGCTAGCGCATTATGATTTGTGATGACAGTCCACACAATTTCGTCCAAATATTAAACAAAGCGTAGCTGATTCCAGTCATTTCGGTACATGTATAACAACTATCGATTTGTGAACAAATCGTACACATTTTAATCTGTGTGTGCATACGCTTCACTGGTCATTTGTCTGATGAAGGTGACAGTGTACATATCGCACCGTATTAACCAAACAAATGACCAGTGAAGCGTATAAGTCATCGAAACGTCGCATAGAAAATGCCTGATCACATGAATGACAATAAGGTTGCTCTTCTTTGTGTAAAATGTAGCTATGACTGATGTACATGTTGTTATGGCCTATGCGCAGTCGCGAGGAGACAACCCCCTCTCTACGGCCCGCTTCACCTGCCGCACATGAACCTACGTTAGGTTAAACTGCGAACAACTTGTTGTTCACCATTTTGTTGTAATAAAACCTTGTTCCTTTTTTCATTGTCTATAGGTTGATTTAAGTTTATCAATAGAGTGAAATAATGGGGTAAGGATATGCGATAAAAATGTCCGTTTGATATATAGGTAATTATTTAAGATATTCAGGAAGGTCGAATGATGTATCATTATACCATATGTTCCGATGTATTTTGTTCTTACAGCTACAGGAACACAATGTTGTACAGGTCAAACCAGCTTTATAACACTTGCATCTACCAGAACAAATTTTCTTGCATCAACATTTGTGTAACTCCTGGCACGATGCTGCAATGGCTGCTAATTGTGTCCAATTGGGAATCCACAACCTTTCTGCTGTCTCCTTAGCCCATCCCCAATCGCCCGGACTAGGTAGATGTTGTTCATGTGTGACTGCCTGTTCCCATACATGACCACCTTGATATGCAGCTCGTTTGGTGTGCTCAAGCAGCACAGCTCTGGTGGGCGGACTTGTGTCATACTGTCTTTGTTTGCGTGCAAACAATTCAAGCGTTGATGTCAAATGTTGTTGTAGTTCTCTCGTACATAACTACAACCAATGCCTCTATCAACTCCAAATCAGCTTCACTGACCAATGCAGGGTTTTTTTACTCAATCGCCCAAACATCTCGGTTACGTCATCAAGTATGTCCCACGTCTGCCATGCCGACTTCTTTCCCTTTCCATGAAAAGCGGAGACAGTGTCACATCCGGTGAAAGTATGAAAAAATGGCAAAGCCACTGATTTAGGACCAAGAACATGATCAATTTCGTGAATCGGAAGCCATCGCAGGTCTTTTCCAAATGCAACCCAAAGTTTTTGGGCTTGGGTTGTGGTCTATGTTGTCGACCGCAGCTGTGGTAAATAATTTGCCCTTTAATAAAGGAGAACAAACCACACCCTCATTAAAATAACGTTCAACTACAGCTTTACCTAGTTGAGTTGATATTTCCAGTACCCGATCATAAGAGATGCAAAACCCATGTTGAAATAATGTATCAATAAGCTGTCGCTTCCTGGTTTATGCAAAGAGTCATAGTCCAAGATACACACAAAATGGTGTCTCACAATCAGCTGAATGTCTGTATTGTACAGGAACTTTCTGGGTGTTTGGATGGTAATTAAACATTAATAGTTGGGGCAGAGCTAAGTTGGACTTTGTAGAAACTTTGTCTAACTGCGATTTAATATCAGGTCCATGCTCTGTCATTTTCACCAACTGTAACAAAGGAGGTGGTATGCTTCAGAGACCAAGGAACCAGAAAATGTTGTCTTCTTAGTAGCTAACTGGCAGCGAATCATTTCGGCCGTCTTTGCCATATGCATGGTGTCATTGTTATCACAGCTGGTCCTATATCTATTTCAAACATCAAAAAGACATCTCTGCCTTTATTGTGTGCTTCTAGTTCTGGCTTCTGCAAAAGCTTGTCCTTCAGGCGCGTAGAATGTACCTGTGCAGAAGAAGAACCTAGTTGTGTCAATCTTTCTTCGTATAGGTTTGCCAGGTCTGCTAATCGAAACCCCACTGACTCTTCAGAAATTCTTTGAGTTTCAAAGATGCATGTTGCCAGCTCAGCTAATGCAGTCTCCTTCATCATATTTTCCTCCTGAGTACAACTGCTTTCGGCCTCTGTTTGTCTCTTCTTTGCTCTCTCTCTGTTGTATACAGCTGCGAGACAAGAAGGGTGATGTTTCATTTTTTGTGCTATGACATCACCACTACTTAATTTTGCCAACAGCTGTTTATCCTGTAGCACTGTTGCTCAATCCACTAATCGTTAGTTCAGTTTCATTGTCATTGCCTCTCTTAAAGCGGATAAAGGTGACTCCTTATCACAAATGAAACATTTATGCACATTTTCAACGGGATCTGGTTGTTGGTCTTTCGATCGAGGAGTACTTCTAAAACGTTTAGGGGACTTACATTCACTCGAACGTCCAGATGGCATTGGTGACATCCGGCGTTTCTGGGCTCTCTCAAGTTTTGTATGGTTAAACTTTATTCTGCATAAATTATGGTACTTAGCATTTTCCTTTTTCATTGTGCTTTCAATTCCCTCTTTGCCGTTTAATAGCCGAATATCTAGAGGGATTGGGAATGCAATTACTTCATGAAAATGAGGGATATTTTTGCCCAACATTTTATATCCTTCATCTGACGATTTCAGTAGGTCTGTTGTGTCTTCCTGACACAAACAACATGTTGACCAATCAGTTTCCCAATTATCTTTTAAGGAAGCTGACAAGCGATTTCTTTTCGCCATTTCAAAAACTACATGTATTATATAAATAAACTAAAGTGATCATCAATGTAACGATAGAACAATAACGCAAAATATGTCTAAGTAAAACATCTGAACACTGATATTCAGGCCGAGGAATTATCCTTTTACCACCTGTATAGCACTTTGTTGTATGGGATACAACTAAATTCGGTTAACCCAAATAAAAGTTTGCATACATTCAGCCCGATTGTTCATCCAGTATCATTTAACTCCCGTGCGATCTGTACACCATCCTGAGGAATAAGCCCCTCCTCCTTGGCTCGGCTCTCCCGCGTTGGCACATCGTGTCGATTCAGGTACAACTCCATGACTTAATAATTGGGGCAATCATGGAGTGTTTAGGAGTACTTTAAGCTTATAAACCTGATACTTGACGCCATGCCGAGATTATCGGCAGTGATTTATACCAGTGTGCCCTGGCAGTGCAAATAAATCATTCTCTGAAAGACTTCTAGTGATTAGTGATGAACATCAAGTAATGACTGGTAATGAATGACATTTGACAAGGTCAAGCAACATCACAATGGACGGATGCCAAGTAATGGTTAAGGACGGACGCCAAGTTAACACTTAACATTAACAATTAATTATAAATAAGGTCCGAAGACCAACCCCAAAACATGCTTCAAATTAATAACTATCAAATAACTATGATTTAAACATTGGCGTGTGGAAGTATGGGTCAAATGTAAGATATTTATAAAACAGGAAGTGAGTTATCGACCGATATTTGACCGGAAGTGATGTTTTATTACTACAACCAGACAAATAAACCTTCATTCACTCAACCTAGTAACATTTGGTATAAAATACAAGCAATATGTATGCCAAATGGAACATACAATTGATGTGTTTTACCTATATAGACGCCATTTTGAAAATCAAAGATGGCCGCCATGATCGGATGGGGTTTTTTTTCGTTGCTACCCCCTTAATATGATTAAATACACCTAAAGGCATGTTTTTACAAAGTTTCATGCTTGTATTACCATTTGCATGATGTTTGCGGTAAGCTGTTCAACTATAATGATTCTACTTCACTCGAGCTTTTTCCAGACTTACCACGATTCCTCTAAATCTCGTGGTCAAAATGACATCATCAGTTAATTTTAATCCTGTCTAGCCATTGTGACTTTACTGTGCAGGTAAAGCATCCTCATATTGGCAACATATGCACCAATACATATTTCATTGGAAGGTATAAGATAGTGTCATCAAATGCTTTCACATTTTACAATTTCTTAAAATTAGCATTGCTAGTTGAATGCCTTAGGTTGAATTACTTGTTCATGCAGCAGTAATATCTGAAAGCTTCCAGCTATCCAATCATGTACTGATATGACGACATGCCCCTTATAACATTACATATGTATCTTCTGGTTTGACGCCATTTTTGCAATAGGTTCAGCATGAGAGGAAACTTCTAAAGTATGATATGGCAATGATGATTTGTTACCTCAACTTCCCGAAAATGACTGACAGTCCTAATCAACAGTCGAATGATGTTGTTGCTGATGATTCTATAATGCTTATGTTGAAAACTGTCAACAGTCCTATGCGTTACACGTGTGGGCAAATGTATCATCAAACTCAACATACAACTGAAATAACTTATTCATTATTGTTGTAAAATAAACAAAGTTTATATATACCTAACTGCTAAAGAAACAGATATTTTCATAAGATATTTCACTGGCGTTTAAATTGACAAGAGAATCGGAAGTCATTACCTCTATGCGATGCCTTTTATTCCAGAATGATATATGAATATGAGGTTAAAATTGACTGTGAAACATGTATCACAAATGTGATCATATGAATGGGTTTAATAAACCATTGTTATAAAGTGTTTGCCTGAAGTTCATTGTAATAGACGTGTGAACGTTTATTAAATACACAGTAAGCTTGTTTAGTTATAATAGTTAAAAGACAATGACTGAGTCTGAGGCTGTCTCATCGTTAAGGAATAACTGCTATTAATTATATATAATGGCTAAAGATTCATGTGTTCTGGTACGACATCACTTTCCCTACATCAGGATTTGACATCTAGAAAACAGGTATTGACTGAAAAATAGTGTATAGTTGTTATCGTGTTGATAAATTTAAGTTTACACTGCATACATAAGACCACGGGTGTCTGTTAAACAGTATTTATATTGAATATAGATAGTATGCGTGCCTGTCTTATCTGGTTAAATACGATATTTACCCAGTATGTTGTAAGGTCAAGACCAACTGAACATGACCTTAAAACATATAAATTAGTACACAAGGAACGCTGTTTTCACACAACAGGAAAACACAGTGGTGAGTGAACCTCTGTTTTTACGGAAAGAATTCGGCAATAACAGACGGGTAAATGGAGAAACACGAGAGCATCTTCCTTAAGAAGAGTTTTGTAGTCATTACCGGCTCCAGTAGAGGACTAGGGAAAAGTATGGCCCTACAGTTTGGTGGAAAGTTCCCTCCTGATTCTGTGTTAGTACTAATGGCCAGGAATGTGGAGGCTTTGGAAAGCGTCAGGACCGACTTGATAGAATTGGTTCCGGAATCAACAGTTTTAGTTAAACAATATGACCAAGGGAATACTGACATTGCTTATTTCGATGGAATATTTGACAACCTTCTTGCTGAAAACAAACTTTCCAAGGATGATTTCGACCAGGTGGTGGTAGTTCACAACTGTGCTACTACCGGCGACAATGTCAAAACTGCGCTACAATTGTGTGACGCCAACCACGTCCGATCTTACTACGACATCAACCTTGTCGGGATGATCCTTCTCAACACAAGCTTTTTTACCACATTTTCTGATTCAGCGAAATCCCGAGTTGTAATCAATATAACATCAGGAGCATCCCAACTTCCAGCACCGTCTCTCCACCTCTACTGTGCAGGTACGATTCTTCACCATTTCATAAGTTGTCTGGGAATAATTAAATGTCTTTTCAAATTTCCCTTCCATTTTTAACCTTTTAAGTAAAATGTCAGCAAGGCTTAATGACTTGTGTATTTGAGGCATACATCTAAATAGAAATATTAATTCGAATTCATTTGAGTTGTAACCAGGGATTTGATCGGTAAATCAAAATAATTTGCAACAGTTCAACCACGATATACCGTCCGCAATATTTCTCATTTGCATATGAAGCCCGGATAGCGATTGTTACTGACGTCGATAACCCCCGACTAACCCTGACAAGTCATGAAATTAATTATTCATGACGGCCCAACAATTGCGTGACCCTGAAAGGTCAACGTTAATCCGCCTAACTTTGAATATTTATGACGTCAACAATAAAGAGCAGAGATACCAAGACTTTTAAGAAAACACTCTAAAATGTCTTAATGTCGTCGTTTTAGTTGATATGAATTAGAATGGGGATAACCCTACTGCATTTTGCGGAGCCAGTAAAACGGATATTTGCGACAGTATTATCACGATGTACCACGGCAAATTTCAAAATACAGTATGGTTATTCCATAAGTAGGATGCCAGGAATGATGCTAGAAAATACTCATCAGAATTTCTTGTTTAAGCTCTGGAAGCTACCCTTGCTATCTATTTCCGCCTTAAACACATTAAAACCAATGATGAACTGAAGTCACTCGTCTATTATTACTTCCTACCAGTTCTATAGAGCCTCCGTAACAAAACTTTGGAGGATATCTTCGAAGAGTATTTCCATTAGTAAAAAACTGACAATATTACATAGCATTACTTCAAAATGTCAAATAACATTGTTCTGTGTTCCTCGACATGTGAGAAAACCTGGTAATTAAAAGGCAGTTCTCGCCGCAAAAGTGGGTGTATGGCTACCATCTGTTGATTTTTAACTTCATTTTACAGTTAATAATAGCTTTTGTGACATCGAAATGGCACAATAATTGAAAACTGTACGAAGGCAAAGAATACACTGTTATAACCAAAATCAGTGAATGGTATCCAAGTTATAGAGAAAACCACCGAAAGGAGGTGGGGATCTTCTCCACTCCAGAGGGGTCATTCATACATTACCCGTTTGTATTTATTGAAACGCTAGGACCAACCTAAATGTATAGCATGTAAAGAACCATTCCCAGTAAAACACTGGTTATTAGATTCAATTGACCTACAGCCAACACGAGAATTTGTTTTAAAGTATAATAAATCTCAAATTTCTCTTTTCGATACGATCATTATCACAGCAATTCTAATCTATCTGAAAATGTAGGTCTTTTTTAAAAGATATAACTACATGTAACCATATCCACTTCTCCTTTTTTAAGCTTACATATGTTTGGATCATTTTGTTTGTGTCATCTCATATGCTTTTGCGTGTTTTATCTCCCTTTTATTCGCTCTTAAGACCTCTTTGGTGTTGAAGGGCCGTTAAAATCAATATAAGATAGGGTATAAATAGTATGTTCGGATATAGTTTTGAGAATCCAGATTCATTTTGTATCATTGGTGGATTATTTTTAGAATTATTTATTTCCGAGAAAAAGATGGTATTATCTAACTTCCAGAGCTTAGCAAGGTTTTCTCTCCTAATTTATTTACAACATGGTATGCATATCTGTCCCTTTTACTTGAAGTACTGCTGTGATTTATTAATGTACCTTACTGTCCGCTTTTGTAAAGTAATTAAACGAAACGGTTCTTAAGAATGTAACATTTCCAAATATTTGATCTTGTTCAATTTAAATTTAAGTCAAATTTGTTTTCCTTTAAAAACTTCATTTCCGTTTTAAGGTAAGGCTGCACGTGATATGTTCTTTCGGGTCCTTGCCACAGAGGAGCCGTCGATCCGGATTCTGACTTACGCCCCGGGTGCTGTCGACACCGAGATGTTACGAGATTTGGAAACAAATGCGTCCTCAGCAGCATTTCGTAAAGTGCTCAATGGTCAGTTTCTATAGAGAATTGTTGATGACAATCATTAAATACATGATTTTCAGCTGAATCAAACTGATAAATTAAAAATATTGAATAATGATATAAGAAAAAAATGTGTTTCATCATCTTGTTCGCGTTTTTGTCTAATTTCATAGCTCATTGTCTTATTGCCAAAATTATTTGTGCTTAAAAAAGATGTTTCATTTTTATCATCCAGACCTGCGTAAGGACGACAAGCTGAAGACATCAGCTGAGGCGGTTACTGACTTGATATATGTACTGGAGGACAACACTTTTGATAATGCAGTGTTCGTTAACAACTACGAACAGACAGCGAAGCCATACATAGAGGAGACGTTGTTCTCCAATAAGATTTGAGTCATCATATCTTATAAAACATTCGAAATCATATTGTAAAAAGCATTCTGTGTTGATAACAGTTCGATTCCTATCAAGTATTCTTTTGTTGAATAAAACTTGAATTTAATTGAATCGACTATAATTTGAATACTTTTTAATTATCATCATGGGACCTATCAGAAATCAATAAATGTATTTCGAATTTAATCAATTTTACTTTCTTTTCCATCTAATACGTATGGTACGGTGTTAAGCTGTATAAGATGAATGAACTCTCTTTTCAATCTTGCAACGTGCTTAAGTATCACAAAATCTGTTTAATTGTGCTTATAACAGTTTTTTTATCCATATTAGAAAATCTTGTGCGGATAAAATATTGAATTGAATTGAAATGCTTTTTTGAGTTATAATTATCCATAATCAGTATTTTCAAAAAGGAGTACACGACCTATCAATAACCTTATTTCGAATTTGATCAGTTTTACTCTTTTTGTTCTATGTATTAAGTATGGTACATTGTTAAGCACTGGTCTCAGCAATATAAATTAACTCGTTTATTTATCTCTAATACAGCTGTATCATAATTCTATACAGTAAAATATTCCAGTTTGAAAGGCCTTTTATAACAATGTAAGTTTGTTTATGTAGGGATTGTCACTGATTCCTGTTAGCACTTTAAATTAAATTCTTCATCTAATTTGTTTAGTAGCATTTTGTCTTTCTTTTTCCATTGCTAACCATCATCCACCTTCTATCGTCTTCCTTGTATACTATTTATGTGCTCTTAAATCTAACATTACAATAACGACTTGTTACCGCAACTTCCCGAAAATATCGACAATCCTACCCATCTGTCGATAACTTTTCACTGGCGTACGAACTGAAAAGAGAACGTCTCATAATAAGACGACATAACCGCTCTGCAATGACACGCATTCCGGCCTGGCTATGCATTTGAGATTCGAATCGTCTAAGAAACGTGCATAACATTTATAGTAAAGATAATGAGACGTTTTTTTAGCCGAATCCAAGTGATGGCTGTGCAATTTGAATGAACTCGCATTTTTATCTCTAATAACATAATTTCTTATAGTAAAATATTCCTGTTTGAAAGGCCTTTATAACAGTGTAAGCTAGTTTACGTAGGGATTGTCACTGTTTTCCTGTTAGCACTTCAAGTTGTTATATCAAATTATTCATCTCGTTCTATTTGTGGCATTTTTTCTTTCTTTTTTCAATGGCAACCATTATTTAACATGTACTGTCTTCGTATACTGTTTCTGTACTCTAAAATATATTATGAAAATAAAGACTTGTTACCGCAACTTCCCGAAATTGATTGACAATCCTGCTAATCTGTCGAATAATATTGCTACTAATGATTCTATAATGCTCAGGTTATGAGCTGTCAACAGTACTACATGTAGGTGTTGACAAACGCTTCATGTACCTTCGAAAGTAAAAATACATTTTATGAGTAAAATAACTTTTCATTGGCGTTGAACTGAAAAGAGAACGTCTGATTCTGTGATGACACGCATTCAGTCATGACTATGAATTGGAGATTCGAATCGTCAAAGAGACGTGCATGATATTTGATAAAATGAAAAGATAAACCATAGTTATAATATTTTTGTTTGAATTTCATTGTAATTGGTGTTTTAAATTTTATTAAGTATTCAATAACCCGTTTAAGTTATAATAGTTATAGTAAATATAATGACTTAACAAGTCTGAGGCTTTCTCATCTTTCAGGGTTGTCTACTATTAATAATATGACCTAGACAAAGATTCAGATGTCCTAAGGATTTAGGTACGATATCAGTTTCCCCTTAGAACACAGTGATTGATTGGAAAATAGCATTGATATGCCTATCTGTCTCGGTGTACAGTTTTTATAGTGTTGATTAAGTTAAGGTTACACTGTTCATATTAGATCGACTGTGGCTGTTAAACAGTATTGTGATTGATAATTAAACAAAGGTAGTATGCGTGCCTATCTTAACTGCTTGACTGTGATATTGACCCAGTAAATCTGTATGGTCAAGACCCACTGAACATGACCTGACAACATATCAATCAGTTCCTACGATACATTGTTTAAACACAACAGGAATAGACTTATTAAATCTTGTTGGACATCCAGACGATTATCATTATCCTTGTTACGTCCTAAGATAATGCACACGATCAAAATGAAACTGGTTAAAACATCGGACGCAAGATCTGCGACGCATCGTTTATCGGAGAAACTTGAAGGCAATATGCAGTCCGACATTGTTAATAACTGACTGTCTCGGAACCCCAAGGGAACAGATAATCAACCGGTCAAAAAGTAGCAGCCAGGATTAAAACTGAATAAAACGGCATTCATATATCATGCCACACATATAAATGATATTAACTACCAATGACTCCAACAGACAGTGGCAGAGAGGCCACATGTTAAAATGGCAGATAAAGGAAGCCATCGGGATGCGCCGCAACAGGACAGTTCTGAACGGAGATCAAAGCTAAATTATCAAGAGCTTTGATTATATCGGAGAAAAGGTAAAGAATTGGTAACATTGGAGTGGAGACAGGAAAAAGGCTGTTTAAGGATCGGCGTTAGAAGTCACAGATATTTACCGAAATTATTGTATACAGCTAAATCCCTAATGGGCATGGTATGGGTTGTTTTCGTTTTAAAAAAGCACGTTTCCCTATCGGCTGTGTGCTATTTATGTTAAGAACATCTGTATCTGTAGGCATTTGTTTAGCGTCAGTTTTACTCAGGCCGTTTCCCCTTCGGCTGTGTGCTATGTATGTGTAGGAAATCTGTATCTGTAGACTTATTTAACGTCAGTTCGTCTCAGCACGTTTCCCCTTTGGCTGTGTACTATGTATGTGTAGGAAGTCTGTATCTGTAGACTTATTTAGCGTCAGTTCCATTCAACACGTTTCCTTCGGCTGTGTGCTATGTATGTTTAGGAAATCTGTATCTGTAGACTTATTTAACGTCAGTTCGTCTCAGCACGTTTCCCCTTTGGCTGTGTACTATGTATGTGTAGGAAATCTGTATCTGTAGACTTATTTAGCGTCAGTTCCATTTAGCATGTTTCCCCTTTGGCTGTGTGCTATGTATGTCTAGGAAATCTGTATCTGTAGACTTATTTAGCGTCAGTTTGTCTCAGCACGTTTTCCCTTCGGCTGTGTGCTATGTATGGGTAGGAAATCTGTATCTGTAGACTTATTAAGCGTTAATTCCATTTAGCATGTTTCCCCTTTGGCTGTGTGCTATGTATGTGTAAGGAATCTGTATCTGTAGACTTATTTTGCGTCAGTTTTACTCGGCACGTTTCCCCTTTGGCTGTGTACTATGTATGTGTAGGAAATCTGTATCTATAGACTTATTTAGCGTCAGTTCCATTTAGCATGTTTCCCCTTCGGCTGTGTGCTATGTATGTTTAGGAGATCTGTATCTGTAGACATATCTAACGTCAGTTCCACTGGTGAGTCCTAAAGTACGAAATGCTTTCTGCACCTAATGAAACTTTCAACTGCAATGTAGGTGCTTCATCTCATTTCGTGGTATTTTAGTGATTATTTAAAAATACAATACACACGTAAAATCTGTGATTGGTTAATTGAAGCACATGTGACCTAAACCACAATATGGTTTTGTCATGGGATACTGTACTTTTATGTTTTTCCACGTCACCAATTTTCAAAAGGCAATTGTCGTTTAAATTGTCTCTCATTACATAAACCACACTCAACGTGAACATTGTGCATACTCTATGTTATATTTTCATTATTAAAAGTTTAACAACATTTCGCTACTGCCGCTTATGTGGTGTGTCAATAATTACTCCCCCGTTCATACTTGGATTAACATCGGGAAAATTTAAGATGTAATCCAAAGATATGGAAATTTACTTTCACAATTTCAATGAACGGCCAACGCTTCGCTACGGCCGCCCCTGTGCTGTGTAGGTAGATTTTCAGCTTCCATACTTACATTAACATTGAAAAAAACTTAAAATGTAATCACTATGTTGTGAATTCACGCAAGTCCTTTGATTATAAAATCAGTCTTACGTCATCAAAGACAATCTTTACCAGATGACATAAGTTTTGTATCAGCATAATGTAAAAAAAACCCAGATTGTTAAGTGATAGAATACGATGCTGCTGTACTGCGGAACTAAGAATTGACATAAAGCTATGGCCAGCTTAGTATAAGTACAGGTAAATTATTTTGATCGCCAAGTTTCAAAAGTATATCTTTGACGAAAACAAAACTGATAATGCACTTAGTTAGTGCGCTACGAGTGTTCTTTCTTTAATAAAAAGAATGACGGATTCAGGGTTCATACGTCTTTCCATATTTTCATGCTTATGTTAATTTGGGTTTCATAACTGTTGTTACGCATTAAAATGTATCCAAGTGAAAACAAGCAGAAATGGGTCATTATACAGTCATCGCTATTCCCATCTACAGGTGTCCAATATTTCAATATATCCGGTGTGCTGTTGACCTTTGTTTTGCCACTAAGTTGAACTTGAGTCCCTGTATATATGTTTTTGTTGATTTTTTGAAGTCAGAAAGGGTTTCTTTGAATTGATATATTGTAGTATATTTATCCAAACATAGGAGTTTAAAGTTTGTCTTTTATGTATTTTTTATTGTGTTTTCTAATTTTCATTGCAATATTTTTCTAACGAATGCGCTACTCCATCAGTACAATGAAACATGCGAGCGTGCTGTTGTTTCGTCTTGCAGAAAATTAATATCCACGTCAAAACATGTTATTTATTGTCTTACATTCATTTTGCGAACAAACAAATCTGATGTTGTAGAAAACCTTCTCCAGAAAACGCTTCATTTGTAACAACAGCAACTAGTTCTAAATTAGATTCCAAGCAAAATTAGGTTTCCTTTAAAATTCTTTATTTCCCGTTTTCAAGTAAGCTTTCCCTTATAATGTTGTTTCGGGTCCTCGCTGCGGAGGAGCATTCTATTCGGGTTCTGACGTACTTCTCCGTGTTGTCGATACAGAAATGTTACGAGATATTTAAACAAATTAAGTCTTAAAGGGTGTCTTAAAAAGATATTTGGCAGATTTCATCATACACAGGCTATGCTATATTCATTTACATGTATAACAACCATATAAAGGATAGGTTGACCTAAAACTGCTACATTATCCCTGATCTTTTAGATATGGCTTCACTTTATCACGATAGTTGTTCACGTATTTGGCATTATCAAACGTGTTGTCCTCCAGTACATGTACCAGGTCAGTTACCGCTTCATCTGGTGTCAGCAGTTTGTTATCTTGACGCAAGTCTGCAAAACCAACAAAAATAATACATATACGAATAAATGATCATGGCGCTACACTATACGTAAAAATTAGATATATTGCAGGAAGATAAAAGTTGAATGCAGTTCAATGATTGATAGTACAGTTTTAGGGTTATGGTAAGGGTGAGCCTCATAAGCGTTATGATTGATAGTCTAGTGTTTGGATAAGGGTAAGGGTGAGTCTCGTTAGCGGTATGATTGATAGTCTAGTTGTTAGGTTAGGGTAAGGGCGATTCTCGTTAGCGGTATGATTGATAGTCTAGTTTTAGGGTTAGGGTAAGGGTGAGCCTCGTTAGCGGTATGATTGATAG